TTTACCCTTTAGGAACATAGGCTTTCTGACACAGACCAGTAAAACTAAGCCTATTCCGGAAGAAACAGAGTCCAGATGATGAATGAGTAGTTTAATCATGTTTTGAAGTCCTCTTTCACGTCTATCCATGAGTTGAAGTGGCAGTGTGCTTGTTGGGATAATATTTCTTTTTGTATGGGTGGAGCTTCAGCTGCCATTATGCGGCTGCTTTTTCTTAGTTGGTTGATAGTGACCATTTTTAAACATTTAAAAAGAAGCCAAAACCATACTACTTTTTGGATACCACAGGAGAGTGAAGTATATTACTATGATTATGACGTTCAGTTCTGGTTAAGAGTTGTACAATAAATTTTTCTGGCACTAGTTAAAGTTTGACTAGCCTGCATTAGGCCAGAGATTACACATGTTTTGAATTCTGGCATTAACTAAACCAGTTTAATATTTGGTGCTGGCCTTAAATGAAAAGGAATGCAACTGTTGAGTTTGTGACTTGCTGTGGAATACCATAGTGTGAATTTCTTCCTTTGTAAGAGAGTTCTTAATTCCAGATATTAAAATGCTGGAGAATCTTACTGAAAGTGAAGTTACGCTGATTAGTTACACTACAAAAGCTAATGTATGTACATCTGCTTGGATCACGTCTTTAATAGAAATAATAATGGCTAACCTTGCTCATGGAACACTTCACTTATAGTGTATCTATACAAACACAATTGACATCACAGCTGAGAGCTGCTTTTTATTTTTAAGTAAACAATATTCCAATTGTCTGATTAACAGAGTGACTTCCTCCCATATTACAAGAATTTCACCTCTTTCCTTAATAACATGAACTCTCCTGCTTTTAAAGTAGAATTTGTTATGAATGGATACTGGAAAGGTAAATTCTTAAACTTTCCTTTAAATGTTCTGTTACACAATACAGTTTCTTTTATTGATTAAGCCCAGATGGTCTGCTCATGTAGCAAACAGATATTTTTACAAACCTTTATTATGCCTCATTAGGATTCACTCCTTTAGATGATTTCTAATTATATTGTCTAATAAAAGTAAACCTTAGAAGCTATTTGCATATTATATGAAGAAATCTCATACAACAAACTCACAGTGGATTCAATTAACATAATAGCTAATTATATATCCCATCAGCCTTTAGAGTAGCTCAGCATTCATGTTTCTCCTGTTTTAGCCTAGAGCAAAGGAGGTTTGAATTTTCACTTCTAAATATTGACTTTTAACTAATATCAAAAATGATTTGAACACTTTGTGGATGAAAAGATGGTGATTAAACTACATGAAACATTTTAAAATACGTGTTTAAAAATTATTTGAAACAATTTCCAATAAAATATAAAACTTTGCATTTGATCAGTTCTGGCTCTCTCTCTATTTTTTTTAAAATATAACCAAGTATGTACAGTTTTATTGAAAATAACACTTGATTGTTTTGGAAAATGCATATATACTGCAGTTACATATTCATATCTCTTAACGCACAACATAATGCAATTGTATTCTTTTTGTGGCTGGTTGGGGTATCTATCAGGCAAGAAATTTACGATGAGATTAACAGAGACATAGTAATGAACTGGCATATGAATATCCTGTAACTGACTGATATTAAGGTATTGCCATAGTAGTCTGTAATTAATTCTCTAGCTGTCTTTTGAAATTGGCTGAAATATTCTGGGAAACAAAAATAAACAGCAAAAATTTCAGTGAACTTTTAAAAAAAATTAAAGGGTATCTTTTATTCTTTAAATAATATGGAGAATCAACAGATTATGAAATGATTAACAAAAAAATCAAACATTTAGAATGATCAAAGGCTGTGATTTATTTGAAAAATTAAAATAATTCATGCATTCTATCATCAATATGGCACATCAAATGTAATGACTAATTTGCTGGGTACCATATTTATATTTTTACAAAAAATAGCAGATAAAGTTTGGTGCAGGGTGAAATGGCTTTGTCCCATTACAATGATGGCTGTCTTTTCATTCATATTTTAATGAGGTTAGTATCTCTGAGACAGCTTTTTCGGGGAGGAGGCCCATGTCTCCGGTACAATTACAATAGGAGTTGCTTTATTGACAAGCACTATTCAAAATCTTCACAGTATAGGAAGAAAGGCTTTAGTTTTCTGCCACTTGTCCAAATACTTATTGCTTTTATTATTAAAACACTTTTTAAAAGAGCACTCAACTTTTGTCAGGTATAACTGAGTATTTTTCAACAAAATCTTTTATATTCTTTTAAATTCAAGTTGTATTTGCTTTTAATAAAAGCTCACCATCCAAAAGCTAATAAGTAGACACCAGAAATGAACAGATACATACATATAGCCTGTGTAAGGGTTTACCATATATATGCACATCCCATTCAATATAGTTTACAGGGACTGAGAGTCTGATTCCAGACAAACTAATAGTTATGTGAAAAAATAAAGTTATCCAGAGGTCACATGTTAAGTATAATTTTTTATTAACTTGGCAAGAAAAAATCAACAGTGACTGTTTTAAAGCAGAGTTCTTGTAATTATGATTTTATTAATCTACTTCACGAATATGCTACTCCTAAAATGATTTTCCTAAGTATAATAAGACAACATACTGAAATACAAAGAGAAGTTAAGAAAATGCAGTTCATATGTTGGCTTCTGAGAGCATTATGGGAAATATAATAGGTGGGGGAAATGAGAGCAAAAAATGATGTATAAATATAAGAATAAACAGGTTGCAAAATTCCTTCCATAAGTGTTAACCCCTGTAAGCAAAGTATCTAGGGAATTTTATCTGTAGCTGCTGTTACATGCATTGTGAAGTTTGATTTTCGTTCAGTATGTTTCAAAAGCATTTCCTAATGCAAAGGTGATTTGTTTTCAGCATATAGTAATAGTCTCATTCTCCATGCTCATATACAGTACTTGCCACTCATGATGTATACTCTTGCTCAACCACTGTTAACTTTTGTGATTGGATTGGGAGTTACTGACGGGTAAGGGGATGGGGAAGAGTGTAGTATGTGAGTGAATTCTTGAATAACAGTTGGCCTATAAATAGATCTCTTTTTCAGAACTTAAAATACAGTCTTGCTTGTATTAGGAAAACATGGTAGATCTCTTTTTATCTGCAAATAAATATAGTTAGTATTTCCATTAAAAATCCCCCCTGCTAGTGAGCTGGTTGGATTTATTGTCATGCAAGTAGGTTTAGAGGTGTGTGTATGTGCAGTATAGTATAGTTTATTGCTACTGAAAGCACATTGGGTCAGATACATCTTTGGTATAATCTCATTGACCTTAGTGGAAGTTACACTGGGAGAGAATTTGGTCTATTATGTTAAATCTTTGTCTTTGGCAAGAGGATTTGTAAAAGTTCTATTGTATTTGCAAATTCAGATGCTGTAGTTTTTCTTTTTTCGCATATTAACTATTTGGAAGAGGCAGTCAGACATATCCATGTGCCATGTTGTCTTGTTTTCCTCAACTTCTAATGGGTGGGAAAAAACCACTTGAGATTGGAATATATAATTCAAATCGTCTTTCTGGAACCAGGTTGTGCTGCCATTCGCTTTCCTTGCTTTATGATACACGTTTGCTTTTTAAATGTTAATATTGAAATTAATAAAATAATTTTCACGGCCAAATGCAACTCAACCCAACCTTACTGTAAACTAGAATGCACATCTCTATAAATGTAGATTATTTTAAACTAAAAACTGACTTTTTAAAAAATATATACAGTGTTTGCCTCATGCCCTTTTTGCTTTTTCCAGGTTTCATAAAAAGTAGATTCCACATCCAGAATGAGGTTGGGGGAGGGAGGATTTCATAATAGGACCTAGTTTAAGAAGAAGAAAAACCTTTAGGCTTTAATTTTAATTCTCCTGCCTCTATTTATCTGATCTGTGGCCAGATGGTGGTGAAGCAAGGAAACCCTTTGTGTAAATGAAGCACACATGTGAAAGTGCTTCTGTAATGTAATCATTGAGACCGGAAGGGTTCATACTGTGTCTGAAAAGAGACAATAGAGACTGGATATATCAACATTGCAGAAATCGAGTTCATTTGTGATTCAGCCCCTTTGACTATGGTTGTCATGAAAACTTCCTACTTTGATCAGCAGAGGGTGGAGAGAAAAATCTTCTAAAGGTCCAAGGATGCAGCACTGTTGTTTACTGTGCACTTGGCTTCAGTTCACGCCCCCTTCCGGAAGAAGCAACAGAGATAGGAGCATCTTGCACCTTGACCTGTCTAGACGGGAGAGAAGTTTTTTGTCCCCGTTACCAAGGGCGAGGAGTGCTCTTTGACCCTGGGAGCACTAGCTGTTGAGACTCTCACTAAGTATGTAGGTAGTGTCTAAATGTTTCTGCTGAATTCTTGCTTAATTCTGAAGGAAAGGGAATGGACAAAGACATGGACCAGCTGTTCGAAAATAAAGCTGAAATAGTAGAACCTGGGAGAAGTTAAATTTTGTAAGCTATTATTTTCTTCACAAAACCCCTGGGAGGTATTAAACAGCTGCATCTGAGTTGACGAACAGCAACTAAGGCAGACCAAGTGAAAGCAAAAGACTTTCTAGAACTCTACTTCAACTACAGAAACAAAGTACTTAAGAAATCTTTCATGGTTATGTCGATAAAATATCAACTGTAGTCTATGGTCTCTGTTTATTTGCTGCATGGTATATGTCTTTTTGAATGACAATATGTTTACAAATTAAAATCTGATAACTGCATACTAGAATTGGTTCAGTGTAAAAGGGATGTTTTATGCAAGAGTAAATGTTTTATTTTTCAGTGTCACCTTAGCTTTAGCTGACATTTTTAATTATGTATGTAATATAATATGGGTCAACAGTTATGCAGATTAAGAGATATGCACTGATTTTTTTCTCTGTCTATGACCCATCTATCTATAGAGGTACAATCTCTTAAAGTTATTTTTGGTAATATGTATAATAAGAAAAGAAAATTCCATTTTCCTCCCCCAATAGGTTCCTTTAGCAAAGTCAGAGACCTACTTAACGGAAGTATTGGAAAATATATGTGATAGAATGAATGATTACCAACTGCAAGTGGATCCTCAAACCCAAAAAAGGACATTCAAGAGATTTGCTCCAGGAAAGATGAGAAAATCTATGCAGATTTTAAAAAATTCTATTTTTATTCTGATGCTTACAAACCTCTGAAATTTGCGGTAAGCTAACATAACAAATTGGTAACATTGTATGTTAAAGTATTACTAGTGTATACTCTTTACTGTATGATAAATATAGCTTCAAGTACTAAATTCGTGCCTATAGTAAATTGTTTTAATAATAACATATTCTAATATGCTCTGTTTTTGCCTGTCACAGTATCGCGTTAAGTGTTTTAAAATAATAATGTGGTTTATAATGTTATTTAGAAACAGATGGCATTTTAGTTGCAAGAATTACCCATGGATTATACTGTGTGTTCTCAGTTTACATGTTACAAATTTCCCAAACTGGAACAATTCAAATTATGTTTTACTTGGGGAATTTTTGTAAGTGATTAAATACAAATCAGTGTTACTAAGGAAGGATCTTTGTTAATTTCTGTGCAGGAAATAGGGAGTTATGGTGTTGGGTAAAAATCCAAATGAATACTACTGTAATTTTAATATTTATAGTTGGATTAAAGAAGGAGGAGGGCTGTCATCTTTTCTTTAGGCCTTGTTGAATGGAGACAAATTTCTGTGAGCTAATTCAAGAATGCTGGCTTAGGCTGAGCTAAACAAATGTTTAGGTGGCAGTTTCATCATATCATTTTGTTTTGTTTATTCATTAAGTATCTTTCTAGTGTCAGGAAACACACAATATAGAAAAGAGTGTATAGGGCAGTGATATGCTGGATATGATTCCACATGTACTCAATTTACCACAAAAGCAATGTTGTGAGACTATTAAATCCATGAAATTAAGCCAGCGTGCACATTTAGTGACTTGCATTTTCACTGAGAAGTAAAGGTAATGGCTGAGTTTCAAAGATGTTGAGTGCTGTGAAATGTTGACGTAAAACAGCTTAAAAATTGTATTCTTGCAATGGCACATTCTAGAGCTAATTTTTCGAGAAATACAAGAGGTGTTTTTTTTTTTTTTTTGGTAGTGGAGTTATGACTTCTTTATTTAAATCAGAGTTTTCCTTAGTGTATTTTTTTTAATTGCAATCCATTTCATGGGGCTTCTACCCTTGTTTAATGATTAAACCATAGTCTGGGCTTTTGGGAAAGTACTTTATGTCCTTCGTAATATGTGCTCAGGATTGCCAAAAGATAACTGTAGATAATACAGCTCTTCAGAACAAAACGTCTCTTTAGACACACTCCACCAAGACTCTGCCTCAGCAGTAGTGTTGAACCCTGTTCAAAACATCAGAAATCCATCTTCTATAAGTGAAGTCAAATTACTGATAGTCTTTAAAATGTTTACAACATTGAAAAGAGACCACTTGGTAGATTACTGTCAATTTTGTTATCTATAGTGAAATCAAAGATGCATTAGTTTGATCAAAGAGCTTTATTTATCTGCATGTTGTGAATACTAGTGTAATAACATGAAATGGATTATTATTTAATTTAACTTTTGAGTGACTGTTCTTTGAGTATAGAGACTGACATTGAAAGGGGTTCTTTCAAAAGCAAGTAAAATGTGACCTGTAAGTGATTTCTTCTCCTAGTTAGTGTATTTTTAAAAAGACAACCAGACAGAGCATATAGTTAAATCTTAAGGAATATTTTGCACTGTAATTTTTCTGAAAATTAACAGTCAATCATTTGTTTGTACAAACAGGAAGTGCAAACCAAAATAAGGTTCCCCTTTCCACTGTATTTCTTTACAGTTCTGGTTTAGCAATCTTGTTTATTTCTTTGCTGGAGTGGTACTGTCTGTGTGTGTATGTGCATGTATATATAATATATATGGTCCTGTTTTATTCTTACAGTGTGAAAATATTATAGAAGAGTATGAAGATGAAATGTTCTCACTTATCGCCCAGGAGGCAGACTATCTAGCTGACAAGCTGTGCAGTGAAAAATCAGGTACTGTGTCTGATGTAACATGTGCTCTCTCTACAGCATTTTTTTCTCCCTCCCCCCACCCCGAAACCTAGTGTACTGCTCTGGGTGCAACAAACCACCTTGGAGGGGAAGTGTTACCTGCATAAACAACAGCACTACATAACTAGCTTAAAAATGGTTCGTTTAAAAGAAAGATTTTAACATCTGTTTTTAATTCTTTTGCACATTTTAACGTAGCATAATTTCAGCACTCCACATCTAATGAAGTGTGTTTTTCTCCTAGTGTTACACGGCCAGCACATTTTTACTCTGTGTATTTGTTTTGCCACCCCAAAGCAAGAAATGAAAATAACCTCTTGCAATAAAACAGAGGTGTGGGGGGAGGCTTTTTTTTAAAGTTTAGTTGTTTATTGCTCATAGTTCATGTTACAAGCGAGAATTAACATGCAGCTATCAATTTGTGAACAGAACTCTTCATTGAGATCAGTGAAGAGTTCTGTTTAAAACTTTAAATCTGCTGGCATGCTATAGATGTTTGTTAGAAAAAATGCATTTAAATATATTGGTATTCCTATGTCAAATATATTCCTCTCAAAAATGTAATGCCTCTTAGAACTTTGAAACTAGGAAAAAATGCCTTGATAAATGACATTTAGTTTATTTATTACGAAAATTCATACATGATGCTATTTGTTAGTCATGTTTTCAATGGGATTTTATTTTATGCAATCATTTTTAAAACCAAGAAGCACATCACTGACTGCACTTAATATCATAAAATTATAAATGTGGTGGGACCATCCTTTTGGGATGTGCTTTTTATAGTGAAAAGTGATAGAATATGCATTGAAATATTGATCTCAGAATCAATGTTTGTAATATTAGTATGTGTTTTAAGGTTCAAAGTCTTCAATATGTAGCACATACAGTAAAAGTGCTAAAGTTGATTTGATAGAAGTTAAAGGAAATAAGTATATAGAATTTGTTCATGTTAGTATGTATTTTAACATATGCTGAAAAAGTTTGATCTAGAGGACTGGAAAAATCCATTATTATAAAGTTTAAAGTTCTTTTTATCAGCTATGCAGATAAATCATTTAAGAAATGGAACTTTCCAAAAATGTTTCAATTTTTTAAAAAAATAATGTATGCTGTGGTTATAGAGCTATATTTGGGCTTAATAATCAGTAGATGAAGAGATTAGCACAAATCATTCTCAAAACACCACAGCTCCTTCAAAACGCACAGTATGGTTTTTGCTGTTCTGCTTGTTAAAGAAAAAGGCAATTCAAAGGTAAAAATAAAGACATAGAAAGCACAGTGCAGAAAAGCAATCATGAATATACTTTTCGTAAACGAATAAATTGGGTAGCTTTCTTCACCTTGCTGGCTGTTGTCACAATTGCCTGTAAACCTGGTGTAAAATAACTTGCTGTTTTGTACACCTTAGATAATAGGCCAAGTTACACAGAAATTATTTATGCTAAAGAGCAAGCTATTGAAATCTCTTTCTTCATTAACAAGATGTCCTCATTTTTTTTTATAATCATTTTGTTGGGCTTCAACTCAGCTGTATGACCATATTTTCTGCGCATATTCATTCAACATTATAACTTTGATAAAACAATTCCCTAATTTACAGTGGAGAAGATTCTCATTGTTACGTGTTAGTGTTACTCACATGAGCATCCCCATTGAAGTAGGTGACAGTTTACATGAGTAGGGAGAGCAGGTCTTGGAACTTGCGTGACTGAGGCAAAATCAAAAATTCTTTGCAGAAGGGGAAAAAGTTTAGTACTTCCTCTTACCAGCAATTAGCACAGACAAATAAGGTGCCATTTAATAAACAAAACAATGCAAATAGTTGCCACTGCAAATTCAAGTAGCTGCAAAAACCATAGTCACACTAAAAAGAAAACCTCTCTAACACTGTGAAGAAATGCAGAGGGAAATAAATTAATCTGCCATTCTTTGCATGATCTGATTTTACAAGGAAAAAAAGTCATTATGTTAAAGGGAAAAGATAATAGATTACTCATAAGAAGACTTTTTTAAAAAAGGCCACTATGCACAATTTTTAAAATTAATTAATATAATAAGCCATGAAAAGGGATAAAAAGACATTTATTAAACACCAGTGAAGTTCAGTGAAAGCAAGATGCCACAAATAATCTTGTGGCTACAGCTGGTTGAGGAAAAGTATGGTACCTGAGTGGTGGGAAAATGTCTGTCTGAATTTTCCATGGAATTTGGCATCAAACTCCCGAGAAAATGGAAATTGCAATTCTCTGAAAAGCATTGTGTTAAGATGTGTGCCAAGTATAAAACATTTATATGTAACTTACCAAGGAGTACAGTTGATAAGAACTAAAAGTGCCTTTTGTAATATTTTGTCTATATTACAATGGTATACTTCATTAATATGTTAAATTAAAGCAATATTATAGACATGTTCTTACTGTCAACTTTTGGCGCTTTGCATCCGTAGTTGTATGTGTGCATTCAAGATACCATTTTAAAGTTTGTGGGGGCAAAAATTATCATACCAGAGTGACCAAAGTGGACACAACTTTATATAAAGTTTTGCTATGGGCAAATAATTGATTTTGCTGCTATGCATTTCATCTTAAAGGAAAATCAAAATAGTCGGTTTAATCTCCATAATGTTAATTTGTTGAAAGCAAAGGACGTGAATGTGACTTATGCTGGTAACCTATAACAAACGTCCTATTATCAGTATAATAAATATATCCCTTCTAATCCATGCTAAGGTAAAATATTAAAGGGCACAATATCCTCTCCATGCATAAACATGATGCTAATGGGAGTCATGTGCACACTGAGAAGAAACTACCCACAAGACATGTTTAGTACTTCTTTTTTTAGTCGCATCTCTATTCTAGATGTTATATACATGTTCATAATACACTGGTGTTTCTTGTTTGATTAAAGAATGGAAAAACTTCAGTGAAGTGTTTTAGAAAGATCAAACTGTTTGATATTTGTAACCATAGATCAGTTTTCTGTCACATGTATCCTTTGATCACACAAAAAACTCTCTGCTACCCATTCCATAGACAAGCAACCAAAAGTGCTGAGACATGCCTTTAGATGTTCTGCAATTTTTCACATGCCCAGGAGTCTAGGAATTAGTTCTCAAACATATTATCTTTTTTTTTCAAGCTACAAACAGGAAGGTCAAATTTCCAGTTTGACCAATAAAATGATAAAGTATTTGATAAATAAAATCAGACTGATGTATCCTGAATTAAAAACTGTTGTCCAAAAGTTTTCATCCCCCCCACCCCATGATAATTGTGGAACACTGACATATCAGTTGTTTCTAATTCAAATTTTGTATTGAATTACGATAAAGTGCATAAAGACCAATGAGAAGTAGGAAACCAGCCAACAGTGGATTATATTAATGCATAGTTTAGTGTCAGTTGTTTTATCAGTGGAAAACAATACAAGCACTAGGAGTGAAAGCTATAATTAACGTAACAGTGAGACTTCTATTACAATCCTTTTTTTACGTGCTCATAACTCTGCAAAATTATTCTTTTTGGCGGAAGTTTTCCATTCTTGGTCTCATCCCAAAGGTGATTTTTAATTATTCATTTACTAATTATGAAATTTTGAGCAGATTCTATTCACCCATTTTTGAGTTATGCAAGGATGGGGGGGGTAAAACCCTTTTCTACTGTAAAAAGACTTTTTCTGCAATTGTATTACTCAAACAGTTGTGTTTTGCAAGTTGATACTTTCTAGGTTGCTAGTTCTCACTGAGAACTAATCTCCAGGACAGTTTGCCAAAGCTAAAAAATATAACAGTTATAAGCAAAGAAAATACCTGTTTTGTGTATGTGTGGCATGTTAAATTTCTACTAGGTTAAGTATTATGATACCATTTACTGGGTTATGAAATAAAGCACATTCATTTGTTATACAGATGTGGTATTTTGTTGATATTTCACTGTGGAATTCCGTAGTTTCACTGATTTTTTTGTTTTGTTTTGTTTTGACCATGCAGCTATGGAAATTCACAGTCAATACAAAGACTTGTGTTTTAGGCTCCTTTCCTGCAATGGAATCTGTTAGCGCAGACTTCAGTAAGACTTTACAGGGATAGCAGGGTACATGCTGGCAAGTCTCATTACAGAATTGGGGCCACAATCTCCTTTTACTTTTTAAAAAAAATTAATTCAATAATAAAATCCCAAACCATATTTTAATGTAGACCTTAAGGTTACAATTAAACACTCAGAAGTCAGGCAATACACAAATTAAATTTCATATTAACCCGAACTCTTCACATTGCATAATAGTGAGTATTTTCTATCACTACTAATGTTGCTAAATGTAACTTTAGGACATAATATGCCCAGTTCTACCCTCAGAGATCAACACATAACTCCAGTCAACTTCAGCGAGAGCGTGGAAATGTCTGAAGAACGGATTGAAACCCATGTGTGCAATGTGCTTACATTAAGGCCACTGTGGAAACCTTGGGTGTTTCCTGAGTTTGAAGTGTTTAAATATGTATTTCAGTAAAATATGCCTCTATTTTTGTGATGTGATAATTAAGGAATCTGTATTGCATGGCTCATAATGGGATAACAGTTGAATTAAAATGAACACACAGATTATTTCATAGCATTTAAAACATTTTACAAAGACGCCACACCACATGCGTTTGGATAGATCTGATTCATACCATGTAACAGAAGTGTTGGCCCCTAAAATACTTTAACCTAACATATCTGAAAACCAGGGGGCAATGACTGGTAGTTTTAGAGTACTTTTAAAAGGGCCTGGTTGCTCTGTGTTAAAGAGGGGTGGATCATCAGTATCCAGGAAAAATACAGGCTTGGTATCAAAGCCTCAGTATTATGCTTCAGACACCCACTTGTCACTGGTTTATTATTATTTATTCAAAAGTTATGTGCTTTTAACAAAATGTAACTGTTTAAAACATTAGTAATGTTATGTAACCTTTTCCCCCCTCAGGTCTTTGTAAAGAATCTGCTACTCACACTGAGCTATAGCATCGACTAAACTATGAATTTTACAGAGTGAAGTAAGATGACAACCACAAAAAAATCTTCCTGTGTAATCAAATAGTGATTCTCTGCCCTTTTTGCCCCTGTAATATCTTTTGTTTTTTACATTTATATTTTTAGATGTGCATCAATTCCTGTTTGTTTAATTTTTTTTATGTTTTCATATTAAAATATTTATACTGAAGTTTGCATGGTTTTGGCAAGATCTTAGGTTTAACATGTAATTAACTATTGACCGATTCTATAGGTAAAACAATTGACTTCTCAAGATATTCATGGCAGGTATGTTAATTTTGACAAAACCAATGTCTAATCATAAAAAAAAATGTACTATTTGAGTGTAAAAAATTATGGCTTTTGTTTAACTAAAACAAATACTTAATACAATTTAAGAAACCTATTACTGTTCTTGTGCATTTGTCCTTTATTTTAACAAATGGTTGATTCCAATGTACTTCCAAATATACATGAACAAATTTTACTACAAAATAGTTTTGAGTACCTGTTAGCTTTATATTCTCTCTATGGTTGAAAGTGAGACTCTTTCCAAATATTTATCCTTTCCCTTATAAATTATATAAGTTAATGAAACACACATGATTTCTTTAAAACAAGCCGTTCCCTTAAAATTTCCAACCCTAAGTTTCAAAACTTTATGTACAATGAAAAGTTGAACAAACACTGAAATATTTAATCTGGTGGCAAAGCACTACTGATACATGCTGTAAGTGTTCAGAAAGGCTGCAATCAAAAGATATTAAAAAGTGATCTTATTTAATACTAATAATTACTGTAATGGCATTCAGATTTTAAACAAGCTTTTCAAAAGGAGAAACATTAAAGTACCCTTAATATACCCCAAACAGGTAAAATGCATCTAGTCATTTGTTTTTAGTGCAAGGTATTTATTAACTAACACAAAGTATTTCTTTATATTTCTCAATATTTTATAACATTATCTAGTACAGTAGCTATGGGATATATTAATAATCTAGCTATCAAAATCTTTGTTCACTTTCTGAAAAATTCTGCTTAAAGTTATTTGTCTTTGATTATTAAAAATACATGAGCACATTCTGCAGTCATTCCACACGCAGAACACCGATGGTTGTAAATTGGCGTTTAGTGTGTGGAATATTCCCCATAGGATGCTGTATGAGAATATTTGGTTAGGTCTCAAATATCTGTTGAAAATATTATTTTGAAAGACTGAACAACTTAGTTGTATTTTTGAGTTTACCAGGATAGCTCATCCAAACCATTATGAAGGTTCAGTAGAATGTTCAGAGGAAAAACAGATTGGTTTAACCTAAAAAGAGTTCTTAAAAATTTATGTCACTATAGTTGCAATTTGACTACCATCTAAGATATATAAACTGGCATACAATATTATGCAAACAAATCATGCATACTGACTAAAAGAAAGATTTAGTATCTGTGAAAGTTTCTTTTTGGCATATTTACAAACATTTAAATTTACAAGATGGAGTATTTATAAAGCCAGGCACAAATCCTCAAACGGTGTAAACTGGCATAGCACCACTGCAGCCAATAGAGCTATGCTGATTTACACCAGCTGAGGATCTGGCCCCATACAGTTATCACGCAAAGATATGTTGTATGATTTAATGTTCTCTAAAAGTGTTCTACTTTTTTTTGAAATGTGGAATATTTTCTGTCCTCTCTTATTGGCAGTTCAGTGTTATAGAACAAATTAGCAAGAGTTACAGTTTGAATACAACAAAGCAATAGTACTATGTAAAAGGGAAACATTTGCCATAGTTAGAGAACATTTCTCATTTTTCAATAATATAGTTGAACTATAAGCTTGCATGTATATATTAACATTACATCAAGAGCAAAAAAGTTACATTAAACTTTAAACTACATTTCTATTACATTATTCAACAAAAGGGTAAACTTGGTCAACTTTTACCAAGTTGAGGACTTCAGTATTGATATAAAACTGATTTACTTAGCAAATGCTCTGAATACGAACCATAAACAGTTAGGTTTCCAGTTGGTTTAATTTAGACTCATAGAGTAGGAAAAGTTTCAGAGTAGCAGCCGTGTTAGTCTATATCCACAAAAAGAAAAGGAGGACTTGTGGCACCTTAGAGACTAACCAATTTATTTGAGCATAAGCTTTCGTGAGCTACAGCTCACTTCATCGGATGAAGTAGGAAAAGGCCGCCTATCCATATTTGAGTATAAAATTAAATTGAAAGGGTCGAATTCCTCCCTTGTTTACACTTCATGCAATCCTATTGATTTTTTTGAGGGGATGGTAAGGGCAGAATTTGGTTCTGAGTATATTTTTAAAAAGAAATGTATTAAAATGTTATAATAAAGAGACACGCAGTCCATGTGGAATCTCATCTATTTAGAAAAAGAAGTCAGAAGTGGTTTCAGATAGTACCTCTTAACTGTCCTGCCAGTTTGGGGGATTTGACAATCACAGTTTCCTCCCTCTTATATAAATAAATAAGAATTTATTTCTCTCTCCATTACTGTGTGAAAAACCCATACAAAAAACAAAGGAAACTAATTATACTGGAGAAACAAACCAACTGATTGGGTATTTGACAGCCCCATTTTTTTTTTTGAATAAAGTAAATAAATTGAGGGATGGAGTAGAGGAGTAGAGGAAATATTTTCCTCAAATCTTTCTCAGTTACATTAATTGTAGACGTTGCATGTAATAAATATTTTCAGACTTTGTTTTTCATGCCCCCTTTAAAATGTTGATGTTACATTATACTTTCTTGGCTAAGCGCTGAGAATCTTTTGTGATAGTGCTGTGTACTTACAGGATATGAATGAAAATCTGACTGTCTGTCTGGGGTGTTTTACTATTCATCAACGGCCATATGCCGTCTTCAATCCTTGCATACAGCCACTGAGGTCAGTGTGATTTCTGCTGCATCTAGAAGGTAGTACCGGTATATGGCCCTTCAGTATCCGTTGTTATCTTTTCAAGACTCTTTCTGCACATTTTCACTCTGTTTTTATATTTCACAGTGAAAACAGTATTGGGAGACTCTCATATCGATACTCTTGGTTATAAAATGTAGGCCAGAGTCACCACCACATTGCTCCAGTTTTACGCCAGCATCACTCCACTGAAATCAGTCAGGTTGCTCCACTGTAAAAATGGAGTAACACAGTAGTGGATCCCACCTAATATCTGCTGTGACCATCTTGAAAAAGACTTTTGTGTGAATTTTCACCTCTCGTTAGTACTGTTTTGCTACTGCAATTACTATATACTGAGAAATGTATTTCATCTTTGAGGCTCTCTCTAAAGCATCTTAATTATTGTTCAGTGAGAAATGTTGTGCCTAATAAAACACTGCATGCATTTTACCTTTTATAAATTAACAGATTATGTAAAAGACATCCTGGGTGTACTTGGGATCCCATCTATCGAGGTATTTATATCACACTGCTCACCATGATATCTGATTGCCAAGTGAAATATTGCTGCTTAGTGAATAGTTAGCTAATAAAAAGTAATCCACTGTTATAAATAGAAAGTTTGGTTTACAGCTCTGATAGGTTCTTACTTTTCCAACACATGAATATTCACTCAAAACTCAGGGGAAATGGAATCAGGATACATTTCTTTTTTAAACCCTATCCCATCCTTATTTATACCATCCTACAGTCATGAAGTCATAGGGTTATACAAGTATAACTGCATGAAGAATCTGTCCTATTAGTTCAACAGAAACATAGAGATTGTTTGGAAGAATCCAGGGTCAGTTTCTCAGCTAGTGTAATTAATTGAGGGTAGTTCTACTGGCTTCAAATGGAACTATGTCCATTTGACCCAGCTGGGGTTCTGGGCCCCAAGTTTTTATTCAAGTGATGTTGACACCATTCAAATTATACATTTACTTGTTAATGGTTTATTTCATTCTCCATGCCAAGTCTACCAGGCAAAGAACAAATTTGCTATGATAGATTTTAGTTTTAATGTGGATTACTCTTTGCTAGGAATGAGCTGAAACCACTACATTCATTTCACTTAGGAATGGCAAGTGGAATTGAACCAAGGTCCCAAATGGGAAAGATCAATATGTTATTTACTAAGATAAGCCCTAAAAACAAGGTTGTTCAATAACTAGTCATATTTTCTATTCATATTTTTCTCTGTGCTCTGACATTTGTTTATACATATGATAGCTTCATCAAAATAGAGTTTTAGAAAATGCTTATTAGTCTGCAGTATTTTGGTATTTTATTGACATAAGGTGTAATTATGTCAAAATATTCTGAGCCAAATATTAACTTGTATGGTATTCCTAATGCACATTAAGTTTATCACAAATTAGGGCATCCAAATCTAAATTTAATTAAATACTATTAATGGCTCTTACATAGTGAGCTGTATGAAATGCTCTGCAATTATATTATACACATTCATATGCAGCATATTTTGTTATGGTAGCTAAGTAGATAATTAGTATTAAGATTATTCAGTTGCTAGATAGCTTAAGCTATGTTAGTCTCTAATAACTGCTCCTACATTTATATGCTGCTGTTGAAGGTAAATCCAGATATACATCAAGTAAGACTACTTGAATTACATCACTGAGCCAGGTAAGGTGGGCAGTGTTCAGAATTGTAGCTTTCACCTGGGGGAGGTGGGGGTGGAATAGGAGACAATCTTTTCCCAAGAGGTTAGAAACGGGCATGAGAGGAAAAATGATCAAATTATCTTGGTATGTTCTTCTATTGTGAGCAAAGTGTCAATTTAAAAAATAATATACACCCTAAAGTGTCTAATCCAGGACATTGTGAGATCATACAAAAGATGCAGGGGGGCTTTCAGTAAGGAGAGAGCAAGGGGGTTAGAAAATAAATACAAGATGGAGTTGCTACACTTAATGGCTTTCACGGACCTAAGTGCCTGAGCAGGGTTGTAGGATCACATATTGCTGTAAAAATGTTGATTAACAGCAGAATTGTGCATAATACAACCTAGGTTAATACAGTGACTTTCTTGAGGAGCATCTCGAGAAAGCTTTCTGTTTAAAATAACAATTCACAAAGCTCATTTAAACTGATTGAAAAGCTTTTGTAAACAAGGATGTCTTCGTGCCTTTAAACATATTTACAGAATTGTCTTGTCTAATGGCACTCAGCAATGAATTCCATAGCCTTCAGGAGCAATTGATAAAGAGTCTGGTAACTGCCTGCTCCAATCTACTTTGGGGAATGTTAATAAACGGGTACCTAAGGAATCTTAGGTGTGTGCTGTGGAATACAGGGAGCTAAATGTCAGCTAATTAAGCAGAGCTGAGACCATGAAGGATCTTGTGAGTTAAAAGTTAAATATTAATATCAGTTTCAAACTTTATGAGAAGCTGGCTTAGTGGCAGAGGAGCAGATGGG